GCCCCTCTGCAAATTGCTCATCTGCCGAGCGGCCGCGTCCGCCTCCCCACCACCCGCAGATATCATCGGGACCCCCGCCAACACCATGCCCCCTGTACCCAACCCCGCTCGCCGCCGACAGAGTGCGCACGCACACGTGCGGCCGAGCTCAGCAGGGGCCTGCCCGAAGCCGGGGCGCTGGAAGAACGCCTTGACGCGGCTCTGGGCGAGAGTGAGGTCGAATCGTGTGGGGCAAAAGTCGTGGTTGGGGTAGTTGCGGGCGTGGTTGCCCTCGGCCATGGCGTCGATGAATTTGCAGCGGCTGCCCGCCCGCCGCGCGTCGTCGATCTTGTCGAGCATCTCGGCGTAGCCGCGGTTGCCGTGGCAGTCCTCTGGCGGACAGGCGTTGGCGCCGTCCAGCAGCTCGGCAGCAATCGTCTTGCTCGTGTTGGTGTCAGTGGGGGGTATGGCTGTGCGGCGTTCGAGCAGGAGCTGGTGGACGAAGAAGTCGCCGAGGTCGTACACGTAGACGGCCTCTGACCGTCCGTCGGTGAAGAGGTCGGCGATGTGCACGCGAGAGGCGTCCTGCATGTCCATGCCCATCATGGGCACGTGCATGCAGTCGTTGTACCAGGTGTCGGTCGGGCCGAAGGACACACCCATCGGCAGGCTGCAGCGGTCGAACGGCTTGCGCATGAATGCGTAGCCGTGGTAGTCGGGCGCCCATCCCATCGCAGGCACCAGCACCTTCTTGTGCTGCACACAGCACACACCACCACACGCACAGAACACGCCGCAATTGCTCTTTCCTCGCATGTGTGTGTGTGTGTGTGTCTTCCTCTGTGTGGGGCCACTCCTCACTCACCATAGCGGCCAAATCGAGGTCAGAGCGCACCCGCACTCGCCGCCAGATCTTGCTCCCCTCCACACGCACACCAACCATCTCCACGCGAATCGTCAGCAGCTCACCACCACTGCCGTTGCCCTTGCCCTTCTGCCGCTTCCGCTCGAACTCGCTGACGAGGTCGGGGGCTGTGGTCTTTGGGCCTCCGGTGAGCCATGCCATGCTGTGAGCGATGCCTTGCTTCATGTATGCCTCTGCCGAGATGCCCTCTGCTGGCCGCGGGTCGGCATCGGCCGGGGGCTCCTCCCACGAACGAGGCAGAGTGGACATGGCGAGGAGGAGATCTCCAGCTCATCTCAGCTCGCAAGTGACCGGTGCAATGGGGCCTTGACACGGCAATAGGTGTCTGGGTGTGTAGGCATGCATTGTCCGTCCATCGGTATGTCATATTGTGCCACTCCCCACTTCACGCGCCTCATCCTAGCCGATACAAGAAATGCAACACAAGACACATAGCCGTCATCTGTGCTGCTGCTCTTCGGATGATTTCCACACACCAGCTAAAGCGCGCGCAAGAGAGAGACGGAAACCTCACAGAGGAAAGACCAAACAGGCAGGAAGATGAGTGTGGGTGCGCAGACAGCCGAACACACAGAATGCCACCCATGCCATGCAGACCAGGCCCGTGTATGTATGTGTGTCGGGTGATATGTACAAATATGCACATACACATGGACGTGAAACGAATTCGCCGACGCAGACAACAGGCAGAGGGAGGACACTTAACGAAAATCGTCCGCTCCCAAGACCTCTGTCTGTTTGCTTCTGTCTGTCTGTCTGTCTGTTCCCTGCCTGTCTGTGCATCTCGCCCCACCGCCGACGCTCACATGTGAGTCATTGCCGTCGACACACACACGGGCGTCTGCGAGGGACGTGGTACACAGTCAGACAAAGGCTCTGACCA